GTGCAAGGAAGATGAGCAATAGCGAACTTCAGCAATCAAACAGCATCATACACATAAGACCAGATAGTCGTGACCTCGAACCAATAGCAGAATTGCATCACGAGTTTCATCAAATAAGAGCACACCAAAAGCTCATAATTGACAATGCTGGAATAGTCTCATCATCATCATCAACAAAGAACCAGTGTTGATATCCTATCTGGCGCTCGGCGCCCAGACTACAGATGGCAGATCCTATCTAGCCTAGACTACAATGCCGAAGATGACGACAACAACTCTCCCGAAGTACGCGCAGATAGTGGCCAATGCTGCACGCTTCCAGCACCAGGTATGTCTCTCGCATCACTCACAACCTTGTTCCCCAACACACAGATGCCACATGCACCCAAGGACCACCCTGCGCCACACCCAGCTCACAGCAGTGCAGCTCGGCTATGGCTGCCTGCTCCTTCCAGCTCGCCCGTGAGCGCGTGAGCGCTGGCCAGCTTCAGCGCAGCAGCCCTTGCGCAGCATGTAGCCAGCACCCGAATGTCCAATGCGGAGGCAGGCCCTTTGCTATATGGAAGTGGCCTGCCTGCGTTCTGTCCCAGGCTGCGCTGGGCCTTTTCCAAGAAGCTTCCGGTAGGCCCCGGTAGGCTGAGGCCCAGTCCGAAACAAATCAGGCCCAGGGCCTGAGGTGGTTGCTTGTGCCCAACTGCCTTCGGCCTGTGTTTGGCCCACATCCCGTATCCAGCCCAGGGCCTTCCTTCGATACATGCAAACAGGCGGCCCAGGGCCTGGGGTCTTTCAACCAACTGGTGCTGCGCAACTGCCTGAATTTCCTTAGTTGCCTGGTGGCCGAAATAGGGGCCCTCAGGTCCTCGTCGAGCCTGCCTTCACTTAGGGCGGCCGACGTGCTGCTTGACAGGGCCTGAAAGGGGCTCATCGAGGCTGTGGCCTCGCAAAGGACTTGTGCTACTATTTATAGCATAGTTGCGGCGCATCTATGCACTGCACGATGCGCTGCGCGCCCCCGGGCGGCACACACACTGATGCATGGGCGTCGCGCATCGATGCCCTCGTTTCATTTTCGTTTCGTGTTCCGTGTGGCGAGGCCCAAAGAAGCGAAGAAAAAGGTCACTGCTCAGTGTATTGCCCCCCAGTCAAAAGTCAGGATCGATTCGAATATGGGACGCTAGACCCGGTTTCTGGCAGCAGCAGGTGCGGCATTGTTTGTAGTATATGGGACACTGGACCCTGTTTCGGGACTAGGTGCAGCTCCCCGCCCATATATGGACCTTCACCCGGAGGTCCACTTGAGGGGGATCTGCTCTTATCACTCCCTCAAGTGCTTCTCCTCACCGAAGTTTAAAAAAAAAAAAAAAAAAAAAAAATAATTCAGGATTCGAAATTGTTCTCTGTTCATCGGGGGCGATGTACCGCATGTTCGTCAAGAACCTCTTTCCATACATCGGCCATGGGGCGTTGTCGTTAGCGCCCCGCAACTTCCGGAGGCCCATACATCGGCCGCGGGGCGTTGTCGTTAGCGCCCCGCAACTTCCGGAGGCTCGGGGTACCGGCCCTCAAAGGCTGGTGCCGCCAGCCAAAACAATTTTTTCTTGTTGCGCTGGCGGGTCGGCGCGAAACGGCGCGCAGCCCGTTTTCAGGCTCGGCATCGATAGCTGGGCCAAGTACTGGTGGTTTAATGGAAGGGCCCACCCACCCCCAACAGGAGACGAAGCGGAATACCTGACCCTGCTAGCATTAATAGAAGGGTCCACCCCACCCCACCCCACCCCATGCACGTGCCGCAACTTCGATCTTCGAGCCAGGAAACATACTGCCGCGAGGGCCGGCCCACTCTTCTCCCTTGTGGTTTAAACGTTAAAGGAGGCCTTTGTAGGGGAGTTGCAGAACAAAGCCGGCCCACTCTTCTCCCTTGAGGGGGTTTGTGGCCCCTTTTTTTTTGTGGGGTTGTTAGACTGGAGGGCCTCTGCTGCTGCTGCTGATGTAGGTGCTGCATAGCTCAGATATGGTCTTTTTTTTTTTTTTTTTAATAACCAGGCAGCCTGTTCAGATAATATGCTTTTGTGTAATTGTCTTTGTGAAGTTAATGTAGATGGCAGTGCTTTGATTCATTAGTCCATCTTTTTTTTTTTTTTTTTTTCAGTAAAGAAGGATGCTGCAATGCACCGGGAATGCTTTTGTCACCGTCCTCCCCCAAAATGTGTTTTTGCAAGTTGGATTTTAGGCTTTTAGCAGTTTTTTATTTTTTTTGGGGGGTGTCCATGTCGACGGGGATTTTCCTAAATAAATGTATCTGACAGATTCTGACTGCAATTACGCAATTACGCAATTACGCCGAGACCTGGATGAATCTAGCCGCAATCACGCACAGAGCTTGACAGAAAAAAAGTCCTGATGCCCTCAGAAAGACTATCAGTCCTGTTTGTTTAGAGTTGAAACCCTTTCTTTCTTTCTTTCTTTCTTCCTTCCTTTCTTTCTCTCTCTCTCTCTCTCTCTCTCTCTCTCTCTCTCTCTCTCTCTCTCTCTCTCTCTCTCTTTTTTCACGTCAGCTCAGCGGGGTTCCACTTAACCAGGTGGTACAAGCATCCTCGTTAAGTGGTTCCCTGTGTTGAATGCTCCATCTTTCTTTCTTTCTTTCTTTCTTTCTTTTTTTTTATTTTTATTTTTATTTTTTATGTGGCCCGATGGACCATGGATCCGATATTCGACCGTAAGAAAACCAAAAAGATATTTAACTGATGATCACACAACAGATACCACACTTTATCTTCGCCAAAAGGTCGAGAAAGGTATACTCTTCTTTCTTTCTTTCCCTTCTTCTCTTTCTTTCTCTTCTTCTCTTTCCTTTCTTCTTTCTTCTCTTTCCTTTCTTTCTTTCTTTCTTTCTTTCTTTCTTTCTTTCTTTCTTTCTTTCTTTCTTTCTTTCTTTCCGTCCTTGGAGTTGTTCAGGTGTATAGCAATTGGAGTTGTGAGTTCAAATTGATGCTTCGCCAAGCTCGGCGCGCATGGACTCGTTTTGGTTTTGTTTTGGTTTGGTTTGGTTTGGTTTTGGTTTGGTTTGGTTTGGTTGTCGAACTGTGCACTTCATTTCGGTTTTACGTTGACACAATTTCGGGCGCATGTGTGTGTTTGGTGTTCCCTGTGTGCCGCTATCTGTGTGTGAAGAGGGGTTGCGGATTTATGTTGTCGCTGTGGGACTGACGGGAAGGGAGGTGGTGTGGGGGAAGTGGGGGGGGGGGGTTGATGTTGTTGTTGTGGGAAAGCAGCTGTCGTCTCGTCGACATATCTACCTGAAGAGAGAAAAGGGAAAGGATAAGAGAGCGTAGAATGACTCGAGTCCACGCGAGCTCTCCACTCCATATCGATGTGGGAAGGACGGCGGGAGTGGAGGTGGTGTCTAAGAGGGAGGAGCGGCATGTCGACTGGGGTGGGTCTCTGCTTGGGGCGAGTGCGACTTCCCGTCGTGATCGGGATCGGGATCGGTCCGCATCTAGTAAAAGGGGAAGTGGGGACGACGTCGGAGGTCTTGGGGCCTCCTCCACCTTTTCTCACACGAAGAGAGGTGGAGGAGGAGGAGGAGGAGGAGGAGGGCATAATAGTCATCATCATCATCATAGTGGTGGTGGGCGGGAAAGTGCCAGCAGCAGTCTGGATGCAATGATAGCAGCTTGCCTGCAGAATCTATTGGACCCTCCTGGTTCATCCTCGTCGTCTCGGGATGAGACGACAATCCATCAAGCGTCCGAGAGCGGGAACTACAACGCCGTTTTAGCGATGCTTGATGCTGCGAGACCGGCTGATGTCAATGCCCGAGCCGAGCCTGATGGGGAGTCGGCGTTGTTCGTAGCGGCCTCCAGCGGCCATGTAGACACCTGCAACTTGCTGATCGCCAGAGGGGCGGAGGTGAATTCGAGGAACAACTCGAACGGTGATGGTCGGGGTGATGCGCCACTGCACGGAGCGGTGCGCCATAACCGAGTCACGTGTTGTCGGATTCTCATCACGGCTGGTGCAGAGGTCGACGCGAAGGGTAAGGATGGCGGGACCCCGTTGCATGAGGCAGCAGCAGGCGGGTTCACAGTTGTCATGCGTTTGCTGCTATGTTCTGGAGCCAATCTGAACGCGGTGGACGCGGACAAGAACACAGCTTTACACCTGGCTGCGGTGAAGGGGCACCTAGCCGCTTGCCGGGTCCTGCTTGATCGCGGTGCCAATCCTAATGCATGCAATGCGTTCCTATCGACCCCTCTGCACGCGGCTACATCGAAAGGGCATGCACCAGTGGTTAGACTGTTGCTGAAGTACGGTGCTTCGTTGAATGCGAAGGACGAGCAAGGACACAGTCCTCTGATGGAGGCGGCGATGCTCGGCCACGTACCAGTTGTGGAGGTACTTGCGGAGCAGGCAGGGCTGATGGTCGACAGCATGGATCGACTACACGAGAATGCGCTGCACAAGGCGAGCGCCGCTGGGCATCTTCGAGTAGTCAAGCTTCTCGTCGGAAGGGCTGCGAACGTGAAGTCGACAAACTACAACATGCGCCATGCACTTCACCTCGCAGCCGCTGCTGGTCACGACCCGGTCGTTGCCTTTCTGTTGGAGAACGGCGCTGCTGTGAATGCGAGGGACCTGGCCGGGATCACGGCCCTGCACCTTGCCGCGGCAAATGGGCACATCTCGACCGTCAAAACTCTGCTCGAAACTCGTCCGGCCGCCCGTCAAAGGCAACCGGGGGGAGGAGGCGGCGGCGGACCACCTCCCCATGGCGAGGAGGGCATTGATATTGATGCAGCGGATGCTCGCGGTCGTACTGCCCTCATGCAGGCCGCAGAGATCGGGAATTTCGAGGTTGTCGAGCTGCTCGTCCAGCGTGGCGCGGACATCACTCTCCGTGATTTGGCCGGCCAATCCGCGGCAGACGTGGGGAAAACGGACCGCATTCAGCAATTCCTCCGCGGACAGCAGACGTGGACAATCACGGCACACAGAATGTTTCCGTATCCAGGCCAGTGGAGAGCCGCCATGCGGGCTCTCCTACCCTCTTCACCCGAATAGAACGCGCCCTCTGGAGTCGTTATCGTCATTGCTGTGTCTAGACTGGGAAATCTTGGCCCCAAAAAATAAAAATACAGCTGCTATAATTAATGAAAGTGTGTGTGTTCTATTCGGGGTGAAGCAGGTAGCGATATGTGTCAGCTGTCACGTGTGTCTGTGATCAGAGTTAAGGTGGAGCAGAAATCAGTCCTGCTATCTGGCTGGCAGTCAATTCCCCTCCGTGAAGATGTGCCTTTGATCAGCACGTGGAGGCAGATGCAGAATTGAAAGGCAGATTTGGAATTGCACACAACTGCTTTCGGAAAAGACCCCCCCCCAGAAAAAAATAATGAAAGAAAGAAAAAAAGAAGGCTTCCATCCTCGTTCATGCTTGGCACACGACCTCTGGTCTGATTGCGCTGACATGAAAAAAGGGAGCAACATTCTTTTCTGAAAAGCTTAAAAGAAAAAAAGAAGAAAAGGAGTGACACAGGTTTTGAACCTCGGTTGGTGATAGCACTCCATTCTCCCATGCTGTGATTGTTTTCGCTTTGTTTTGTTTGTTTTTTCTTTCTTTATAAAGGGCCACTGTGATTTGGTTTTGTCTGTAGTGCTGTGATTGTTTTTGTTTTGTTTGTTTTTTCTTTCTTTACAAAGGGCCACTGTGATTTGGTTTTGTCTGTGGTGTTCAAGATTGCCCGATTTGCATCAGATGAGAGTGCATGGACGCATGCGCGTGTGCATGCACGCATGCACACGTTTAAGCAGTTTGGATAGACAGGACGGAAAACGTGCCAACTGGGTTGTCTTCAAAAAAAAAGAAGAAGAAGAAGAAGAAAAAAGGATGGAAAACGTGTGCATGTTCGCATGCACGGAGCTTGCTCTATTGGCATCAGACGTGGAGTGCATGGACGCATGCACGTGCGCATGCTTGCATGCGTGCATTTGTGCAGATTGGAATGAGGGGATGGAATGGAAGAAGGGAAGAGCAAGTGGTGACACGTGGATGGACAGATTGGAATGAATGCACACGTGCATGCATGCATGCATGCTTGCGACGCATGGACTTGTGCATGCATGCATGCGTGCTTACGTTTGTGCAGATTGGAATGAGGGGATGGAATGGAAGAGGGGAAGAGCAAGTGGTGACA